ACTGTCATTTGAAAGATTTATGTTTATGTCTCCTATAAATATTGCGACCTCATTTGGCTGCTGTGAATTTTCCAGGTATATATTAATTTCGTCAATGAATGAGATTGTTACTTGGATTGGGTCTATACAAAGCAATCTGAATATAAAATCGAGATGTTAGTTCAAGGTTGTCACCGCTTTTGCATACATTAAGTGGTGACTCATAGATAAGCAATTACTTATACATAATTGAAGTCGGGTAACTGTTTGGAAGAAGTCCGGAGAGGTCAGGAAAGGGCTGGATAAGGTCTGGAGAAATCTAGACAAGTCTGGATAAAGTCGGGATAAGTCTGGATAAAGTCTGGAAAAGTCTAGCTTAACCTGGAAAAGTCTGGATAAAGTCTGGAGTAGCCTGGAAATTTCTGGAAACGTCTGGAAAAGGCTCTATAAGGTCTGGAGAAATTTAGACAAGTCTGGATAAGTCCGGATGAAATCTAGATAAGTCTGGATAAAGTCTGGAAAATTCTGGAAACGTCTGGAAAAGGCTGTATAAGGTCGGGAGAAATCTAGAGAAGTCTGGATAAAGTCTGAATAAGTCTGGATAATGTCTAGCTAAGTCTAGAGAAGTCTGGAAATTTCTGGAAAAGGCATGGAAATTTCTAGATTGGGTCGGAAAAATTCTGGAGAATCTGGAAAGGGTTGAGTTTTCGCTGATCTCAAAGTTCACAATAATCAAAAGCATTAGCGTTGAAGTTTGCTTCGGCATTTTCAATATTCTCCTCGGTTGCATCTTTGTGAAGGACTGTGAATTTTTTATTTACGTGACAAATCTCTGACAAATGCCTATTAGCTGTGCTATTAGATATTGCTCTGTAGATGGTTGTTTTTCAAAGCAAGGAAGTGGTTTAATATTTTTTCGAGGTCCAATAGAAGAATCTAAGTGTGTCTAGGATTTTCCAAAATGGAAGATAAAGACATAAGCATTGCTGGCATTGCTGCAGGCATGATATTTTTACTTTGTGCAAAATTATTACATCATTTAGAGCATTTCTATTCTTGTATCCCTGATGTTTGGGACTCCATAAAATAGGATGTTTCTCATAAAGTTGAATCAATTCAAGAATAAGTTCATTATTCCACTCCATCATCACTCTACAATCTATAATGAGAAAAATATAGGTATAGCAAAACAAACCAGAAAATAAAATAAAATCTTTGTTGCTACACTGATTCTATACTGAATGCGACAAACACATGATCGCTCGTGTAGGCGTATGACGAACGATGGTTCCAACGTTGGAAGTGCCTTTGACGCGGGTAAATTTTACCGACATGAGCCCGAACATGTGGCCAACGTTGGACACATGCAATTCCCAACTGCACGCCCACACGGTGTGCCAAATGGCGATGTGTCCAACGTTAGAAGGCATTCGCCACATCGTGTTTAAGATAAATAAATCCTTGCTGAAATGCACGAAATATCAATTTCAGATTGTTTCAAAAATGTGTTGAAAGGGAAACCTGGAATAATTAATATTATTCCAGGTTCCTAAATTACTTAACAGGTTGACTGCCGACAACTATATTTTTGAGTCATTTTCGAACGCCGTTGAGTTTTATTCGTTTTGTTTGGTATCCATGTTTAGCGACACAAAAAATGAAAAACGCGTTTTCAACTGAAACACGTATACAAATGTATTAAGAAAGACAAACGGGTCGACACACCGATCGGAGTGTTCGGCAGTCAACCTGTTAACACGATTTAATTTCTGAAACTATATAAAAAAAGTGGTACGCCCATGAGCTTTTTGACAAATTTAATAGTTTTTACACAGTGTGGTTTTCGTCCAGGAATATGTTAATGAAAAGTCGGTTTTCGGCTTATTTGGACTTTATTTAATGAAATATCTAAATCAACAGCCAACGTTTCGACGCATTCCGCATCATTCTCAAGGCTAAAAGAAAACATGCAAAGAACGTTACAAGCATTTCACAACGATTAACATTTTAAAAAATGACTGACAAAATAAATTAACATTTAACAAAAAAGAAGCATTTACAAAGGTTTAAAAAATAAATTAAAAAATGACGTATAAAAAAGAAATTAACATTTAAAAAGTTTCAACAATGACTATTACATAACAAGAGATAAGTAAAATGAGTTTCACAAATTATATTTTTGAAAAACTATCAATCCAGACAACATAGAACCAATTACCTAATTTGACTAATAAAAACGTCGTATTGTTATCTACAAAATACCTTACCAAAGTTTACCTTACCTAGATTATTAAAGCTATGAATCGCATCATTCGGACCGATTCATCAATAACAAACAAAAAAGTTCACACACCAAAGAGCGGTACTATTGCTTGCCGTGATGTTTCGGTACTACTTTTTCATATCGATCTGCATTGGTACGTAAAACTAAATTATTGATAATGTTGACAGTCACCCTAATTTTCAACAAAGACTCTTCTTAGAAATGTGCCATATAACGACTAATAAACCCAATGTAAACCTTAACATGGATACACAAAACTTAAGTACAATTTACTGCAACATCATAACCAATCAGTTATAAACCGACCATTCGATTGTTTTCAATTGGTTCTGTTCCCCAAATTAAGTTTTTTAAAGGTGAAATTTGGTGGGGTGGGAATCAACATTATCAATAATTTAGTTTTACGTACCAATGCAGATCGATATGAAAAAGTAGTACCGAAACATCACGGCAAGCAATAGTACCGCTCTTTGGTGTGTGAACTTTTTTGTTTGTTGTTATTGATGAATCGGTCCGAATGATGCGATTCATAGCTTTAATAATCTAGGTAAGGTAAACTTTGGTAAGGTATTTTGTAGATAACAATACGACGTTTTTATTAGTCAAATTAGGTAATTGGTTCTATGTTGTCTGGATTGATAGTTTTTCAAAAATATAATTTGTGAAACTCATTTTACTTATCTCTTGTTATGTAATAGTCATTGTTGAAACTTTTTAAATGTTAATTTCTTTTTTATACGTCATTTTTTAATTTATTTTTTAAACCTTTGTAAATGCTTCTTTATTGTTAAATGTTAATTTATTTTGTCAGTCATTTTTTAAAATGTTAATCGTTGTGAAATGCTTGTAACGTTCTTTGCATGTTTTCTTTTAGCCTTGAGAATGATGCGGAATGCGTCGAAACGTTGGCTGTTGATTTAGATATTTCATTAAATAAAGTCCAAATAAGCCGAAAACCGACTTTTCATTAATAGTTTTTGATTCTTTGTTTAATTTTAAACAAAATAATAAGGTCTGTTTGCAAAAATCACAAACCAGTCTAAGTGAATTTCATTGGTTGAAACTAGTTTTCTGACTGTTTTCAACCAATGAAATTCGCTCTGACTAGTTTGTGATTTCTGCAGAAACAGACCTATTATATCGCAAACACTCTCGAAGCAAAAAGTCAAAATTTTCCGAAAATTTCAACACTCTGTATTTTCTTAACGAGACGTTTGGGGACACATGTTCCTATACAAAAAGTGATTGTCCTGCTATACTCTATCTATCATAACAAAATGCGCACTTATTTCGGACTCACCCTGTATAATTTGTGTAATTTTTTTTCCTCTTTATTTTAAACATTTTCATCTTCAAACTATAGCTCTGTTGTGGTTGATTTAAAATAAAACTCATTTTTCTGCGATTGACAAGAAATATCAGCATTTTTGACCGGTTGACAGGTCGCAAAACTCAATATTCTGGTATTTCAATTATGTTTCAATAGTTGCTAAGAAATCGATGAATAACAATACGGGAAACACTTTTCCGGCCTAGGCCGGGAAAGTGATTCTCGTATTGCTGAATAATCGGAACTAAAAGACAAACATTTAACAGGTATTTAACCGATCGCAGAAAAAATAGTATGTGTATTTCGGTGGAAAAGCACATTCTCGGCCTTTGGTGTTTGCCAACTTACACCGTCGGCCGAGAATGTGTCACTTTTCCACCTAAATACACAATATACTATTTCAATAAAAATTACATCCCTTGCTACAATTTATTTATCATTTGGCCCTATAGTTAGTAGTTAAGATTTAGATTTTTGAAAATTTCAAACATCATAACTGTTTTTTTATTATAGATAGAAAGGTGAAATTTTCAGTGATTCTTATCCTCGTAGAGGACTACAGTCCCTGAAAATTATAGCTTTGGACTTATAGTTCCAGAAATAAAATCGCGTTAAGTCATTTGGGGTAAATTTTTCAATTTACGGACGTCCTTTTTTCAAAGAATTCAGCTTCAATGACCATTTAAACAAAATTTCAACATAACGATTTTTTCATCATTTTTCAGTGTAGTTACTTTGATGACCTCTACCTCCATTATTGCTGTAATATAATTACTTCTATGTTTTTGAAACCTTCCTCGGTTATAACCAAAACCACCATTAAGTTTACCTCTGTCTCGGAAACCACTTCCATTGTTGCCTCAACCAACTTTGATTAAAACCTCTTGAGAAACGTCTCCGATTAAAGATTTTTCTTAAATAAAGCCCATCTCTTTCTGATGTAGGATTTTGTGAAATTAACATAAGTCATTCTTTCTTAAAGTGACCACTTTTTTCACATTTGTAAGTAACAATTATTTCCTGAAAGCTGCCGATTATAGTGATATCAGATATAAGATATAGCTCTTTTCTTTTCTACTTCACTTTGTAGCTGTGACTTTACCACATCAATCATTAAATCAACCTGGTCTATGTTCTCCAAAACTGTTATCACCCTCTCAAAACTCTTTGGCATTTCCAGTAACAAACTGCAAACTACATATTTGTCCTGCATATCAGCACCTTCCGCCTTGAATTATCTCATGTTGTCTTGAATAACATTCCAAATTTTTCATCAACAGGATCAATCATTTTATCATTAAAAAAAGCGAAACCGGGAAGTCAAAGTTTCAAGGTACATAAGTACTATTATTTTCTAAAAAAATGGAAAAACACCATAAACTAATTACGATTTATTTATTTATTTAGAAATGAGGCAAAGAAATGTGTCAAAACCAGGCATAGATTCCACAGACTTAGATCAAGTTTTAAAATACCAAGAAGACATTCAAACTAGGATCGCCGAAGAAATGCTAGATTTTACGAAGACCTTGAAGGAACAATCGGAAATAGCTAATAAAATAATAAAACAAGATACAGAAGTAATAACAAAGCTAACATATATTACCCAGATAATAATAAACTATTTTTTTTAGGTTCTCACTAATTCAACTAATATAACAGACAAAAATTTCGCAAAATTAGCCACAGAATCCACTAAATTGGAGGAGCATTCCAAGAGGGCTTGGAAGTGTTGGATGTGGGTTATGTTGTTGATTGTTTTAGTTGTCTTTATGAGTAAGTCAATTGACTATAAATCAGATAACTTTTTTATATTTTATTTATTTTTAGATATGGTGTTATTTATGAAAGTAATGAAGAAAAGCAAATAATGAAATTACTAGGATTTAGATGGCTTATGGTTGGTGAAGGTTTTGGTTGGTTAATAATGGATCAAGTTAGAATAAAAAAGTTGGAAGACAAAATGCAACAACTATTGCATTGTGTCTTCAGGACTAATGTTGATTGTACGGTAACCTAAACTGCCTTGCACTGTAATTTTTTTTTAACTGTATTGTGGTATTTTGTATTTTTTTTCTATGTTTATGTACTGAATTCCATTTATGATTGGGGCTTATTTATTTATCCATCACCAATGGACAAAAATAATAAAAAAAAAACATTTAGGAAAAAACCCAGTTTGATTACTATTTAATTAAATAACAATAATAATTACAAACGTCAATATCCATTAAGTGCTGCAGTTAAATTACAATCAGCCTTGTTCCTGCTAAAATATCTGTTAAAATCTAAGTGCATTAGTAGCTGCAATAAATGTCCTCCACTCACTTTCTTATGAAATCGGTGCAGCACGACTAGTAAAGTTTCTATGGCAATATCGGAGCGTTTTTGAAAACTTTCCAATTCTTCATTGTCGGCTTCTGTAAGACTGGCCTCCCAAGTGTTTGCAATCAAGGAAAATTCATCGCAAAGTTCCAATAGTCTTGTTATAACCCTGTACACTTTGCTTGGGACGTTGTTTTGTAAAGCCGGCACTTGATATAACCTGTATTTACTTTTACTGTCTTGAGACTGAAAAATAAATGTTAACTAACTTGTTTATGATTAAGCAAATGCATACTTCATCTGGCGTTAGGACAAAACTTTTAGCCAAAAGATTTGTAATAAATTCTTGATGAATTTTAATAAAATCTTCAAATTCACTGGCACTCTCGACAGCTTTCAGGATTATAGAAAATTGAGTTTCAATCACATTAACTTGCATGTAATATTGAAGATTGTTGACCAAAAACATTAAGTTTTGACGAAGTGTCCATACACGTCGATCACTAGAAAAAATTGTTAAATAAAAAAATTATTATATTAAATAACATACATTTTTTGTTTGCTCAAAGTGTGATTGGACCACAGCTTCAACAAATTAATTTCAGTTTTTTTCAGTCGCAATAAAAAACAAAATAATTTATTATATAGCTCCATTACTTCTGGATGGAACACTATGTGTAGTGGCCATTGGATTTCGAAATTTAATTGTAAGTGTTGCCAGAGATTTGAATCTAAAATAATAATTTATTAATTGAGAAAAACATATTTGTTGTTTTCTTTTACTTGAAGTTTCCACATGATTAGAACTCAGCTCAAACTTTTGATAAGTTTTATCATTCTCGCCGTAAATTTTCCTTGAGGTTTCGTGAAATAAGAAATTTATTTGTTGCATTAAAGCATTCGCTGGCACGTTTTTCAAATTTGTATTTGACGCAGTTAAAAATTGCTGGAAAAGTTCTCCTTTGCCAAGCGCAAAAAAATCTCTAATTAACTTTAAATGATCTACAAGATTTCCTTCTTCAAGCATTATAGACCAAAGAAACTTAAAGAAAATATTAGATTAGAAATAAATAAAAACTTGCTTTGTAGTTATACCTTGGTCAATTTTGTTCGGCATTCTTCGATAGTTTTCTTAAATTGTACAGCATTAAAACTCTGGTCCGCCAGTACTTGTATTTTATTATAATACTCAATTTCTTTGCCTTCCCAAATATCTCTTTTGAATTTTGTGTTGTAATCGTCAATATTTTCTTCTTTTTTAGGATCATTTCTAATAATCCATACTATTCTTCCCATAAAAAGAATACTTTCAGCCGAATCTTCGCTGATAAACATTGGAACCTTCTCCCAGTTGATGTAAAATTTTCTTACTGGTGGTGGACGTCTAATTTTTGCCTTTTTCTTTAAAAAAAAAACACAATCTTATTGACAAAGCTAAACTCAATGGCAAACCTTAAAACTAGTTATATGAAATAAATTCTAAAAAATACAGGGTTTTTCAATGAGAACTGAACAGGGGCTTATTTTTGACCTCTCTGTATTTTTGAAAAAAAAAAACAAAATAGCCAATTGAAGTATTTTTTTCTGGAGAGTTCAGAAATGTTATCACAAAATCATTTCAATCAAAAACCAAAGATTCACACCATGGAGAAACTGTGTTTTAAATGGAACATCTTGTTTTATGTATGATTTTTGGAAAATTCGCATTTTAAACTAATAAAACAAAACTACTAATAGTCTAGGGGTTTAATATGACCTCCTTTGTTCTCGCAACAACATCGATATACTTTTGGAAGCCTATAAACTTGCTTTTATAATGTCATTTTCCTAATTAATTCGGTTTATTTCATTAAAAAAAAAATTCCATGATTTCTTTAATAGTTTGGTTTCTTTGTTGGTATGCCACATTGATATCCTCTTTAAACCACATTCTTTAGATGATCCCAAAGAACCGTATGCAAAAGTGAGAAGGGCTATTGGGTGGCCAAAAAATAGTGCCATTAAGTCCAATCCATTCAGTATGGCGTTCGTTTAAAAATTGAACGACATCATCCAAGGCATGCGGAGGAGCTCCATCTTGTTTCCAAATTAATTTTCAATATCCTTTTAAGGGTCTAAAGGTCCTAGCTCGACTCCGGGGTCAATCCCTTACACTATTGTCTATTTGACAGAGAAGAATATCTAAAATTCTTCGCACATAAAGACATCGTAAGAACCGTTTTTGAACTTTTTCTATTTCATTGGTGCTTACTGTAGTTGTTCGATTCCAAATATTACTAGCATATTCCAAATGTGGTCTCACCAGAAAATTATACAAGAATATAATAGTTCTACTGAGATTTTTTTTTGTGTTACATATAAGATCTCAGCAAATAACAAAGCCTAGAGCTTTGTAACCTTTATTACTAATACACATGTGATGGTTATTAAATCTGAAAGTATCCTGCCTAAGACCTTGATCTCATTTTTTCTAACCAATTTAACATCGCTCACCAAGTAATCTTCAACAATATAATTAACCTTCCGGGTATATGTGGCTACCGAGCACTTTTCTCTATTCACTGGCATTCTGTTATCTTTAAACCATTTCATGGCTGAAACCATTTTAAAAAGCTTAAAATCATCAGCATACACCAAACTATAGGATGACATTAAGCATAAGCATTCAGGTGGATCATTTATAAAAAATATTATAAAAAGCAGGGGACTCAAGTTGCTTCCTTGAGGAACTCTCGACGTAGAAACAAATTGACCAGAAAAAGCATGTCCAACCTTGACAGACTGTTGGATTTGCGACAAATATGACCTTAAAAAGCTACAGGCTTTAGAAGAGAGACCAAAATTAGCCAACTTGCTCAACAATATGCCATGATCTACCTTGTCAAATGCCTTTGCACAGTCAATGTATATAACGTCCAGTTGTTTCTTATTAGTGATGGCTTCGGACACACATTCCGAGAAACAACATAGGTTGGTAATTGTAGGTCTGTCCTTCAGGAACTCGTGTTGAAGTTGCGATATATTATTACGAATATGACACAAATGGTCACTGTACAGAATTTTTTCAAATATCTTACGACTAGTGAGCTTCAGCTTCTTCATCTTCTTCTTCAGCCGTTATCCATCCACTGCAAGATGTAGGTCTCTTTCAATACTTTCCAATAGTTTCAGTTTTGTGCTCTCTTTATCCAATTTTTACCAGCTATGGTTTGTTGTCGTTGGTCTACCTTTTAGGAGGTCGACCCACTGAATGGTTAGTGAGCTTATTGGCCAGTAATGCGTTATATCCTCCCTGTTGCCATTCTTGAAAATAGACGAAATTATTGCCGTTTTAAGAACATCAGGAAAGTCGCCCTGTTCAAATGCTAAATTGAATATGAATTTTAATGGCTATAAGAAAAATTCGGCGCATCCCTTGTAAATATAGGATGGTATGCCATCAGGCCCAGTTGATCTTTTTGATTCTAAAGATTTGGTACTGTCAAGAATGTCATGATCCGAAATGAAAGAAAAGTGAAAAAGTGTGTGGTCAGCTTGAGTTTGGCAATTGGAAATTTGGTTGTTGCCTTCCGCAAAAACAGATTGAAAATACTGTGCATTTGCTATGCCTATAGAGTCAGCGAACCTGTCATTGTCCAATCCTCCATCATTCACATTAGTGCATGTCCGCACTTGGGTCCATTCACAATCCTTGAGCGACTCGTATAATAACCCGAAATTGTCAGAATAGTCATATTTAAACTTTTTTGTATATAATTTGTGTTGATATCTGGTTTTCCAAAGGACATCTTGACAATGCGAGCTAGCTGGGTGATAAGGATCCTCAGAGAATAGAGGGCTGTCCGACGAGCCAGTACACAACAAGCACATATTTGACAATATCAAATCTAGATATTTATTCATAAAATTACTAATCCCATTATAGTAAATCTCCGAAAATAAGCATATTAGAATCCCTATTCGCAAATATATCCTAAAATAAATTAAAAAAATCCTCATAGGTCTCTGCATCTGCATTAGACAACACATAAAAATATGTTTTCCTGTACTTCAATTTTACTATTATACACTCATAGGTGCTGTCCACTTTGACTATACTGAAAGGAATTTTTCTTTTGATGGCAAGAAGTACACCTCCCCCCTTTAATTGACCAGTGTCCCTATCTTTTCTGACCACTACATACCTGTGATCAAAATATTCCATGTCAGGAAATCCATCATTCAGCCATATTTCAGTGAGGGTAATAATGTACTCTTCACTTAACACATTTGTGTAGAGAGTCTCTGCTTTTGTTTTAAGGCCCCTCACATTCTGATAATAAACCTGTTATGCTAGTTTTACACTTACAATTTAAATTGATAAATTTGTTTGCCAATTTATTTGCCAATTTATGTTGGCTTAACAATGGCTTGACTCCGTTTTACACCAGATCAACTTGTTGACAGCACAAATGACAATAAACAATTCTACCAACTTAACCAGAATTTCAAGGTTAAGTTTTTATATATGATTCACTCAGAAATATATTTAAGGATGTTTAATAATAAAACTAGAAGAAACTGAAGATAGAAGAATAAATTGAACATCAACAAGCAAATGATAAATAATAGTTATTTATGATATAAGTGCTAAAAGTGACATTTTATTTTGTGAAAAGGGAAGTTTGAACAAAATAAAATCACTTTTAGCACGAATATCATACACTACTTTTTCTACAAACGCACTAAAAGTGATTACTTTTAGCACTAGTGCTAAAAGTAATCACTTTTAACACCAGTGTCATAAAATGGCATTTTAGACACTGACAGCATCCGTTAAGAATTACACTTTCAGTGACGTTTGTAGAAAAAAATAATTATCCTCACCTCGCTTTAATATTTTTAGTGTCATTTCTAGGTTGAAAGCCTGAATTGACACAAAAATTGACGGAAAAATAGAACATGCGCTAATCCGTCAATAAATTGAGCAAGAACTTGGACAAGTTAAATTGTCGCCAAGTTGGCATTTTACATTATCAATATTTCTTGACAAGCTACTTGATCAATAAATTGACCAATAAATTATCAATGTAAAACCGTCTATAAGAAATATTTTCTTCCTGCTTGAATTGAAACTGAAAAATTGTGATTTGTGCCCATCCAGAAGCATTTTTTTGTTGAGGACCCATCGTCAGCGGTGATGGCGTCCTCCTTTTGACAAAAAAACGAGACAATAGTGCCCCATTTGGCCAAATCTCCCTTCTCCACGCTTTCCGAAAGTTATCCTGATGCATTTTGCAGATCATCTCTGGAAACTGAGCACTTAAAAACTTCCAATTCATCTGGCTTAGTAGAAGGTTTGAGTCGAGAGACATGGACCTGTTTCGGAACTCCCTGAATATTCGCACTAGACTCATCTTTTTCCACTAGAAACCTTCTGTTGCGGTGGTTACGATGTTTAACCTGCTCCCAGCCTTCTCCTTGTTCATGCTTTTCAGAGCTCAAATCTTGTAAAACTGCCGTCTTCACAGCATTCGCGTCAATAATCGCGCGATTAGTATCCTATTAGTACTCCAATTAAAGCTGACAGCTAAAAGAAGTACCGGCTCGTTTACTAATATTTTTACTGTGGTTTACATTTTTGGTGGTGGCGCTTTACCATGTTTTTGTTGATGAAAAGGTTGATCTTGCATTCTTTAATCGATTTTCGTGGGTTCTGAGCAAGCAGTAGGCACATTATCATCTACAAATCCTAGTTGTTTTTCGTTTGTGCTGATTACCTTTTTTTTTAGGTTCACTGGAATACTTCAACACCGAAGATAGTTTGTTTGGCAATGAAATTTCCCTGGTGAGACATTCAATTTCTTTTCTTAGAATCTGCATCTCACCATAGCAAAATGATGATGGCATTATATGGCATGTTGTTATTTTTACGATCATCACAAAACCACTGAATATTTTGATTTTCAACAAAAAATTTTACCCACATATCTTTAATTGATACACACAATAAATGAAATCTTGTGTTACACAATTTGCACTTTATAGGTACTTTTAGAATTTACACTAAAATTGTCAGAACAGTGTTCACACACGTCCCTACCGCCTGCCAAATGATTTCTTTGACAAGGGTATATTTCCTAATATCCTCAAGCATGCAGTAGTTGTACCTTTTTAGAAAGGAGGAGACACCTCCCGCAAATTCCCATCCTATTTCTCTTCTTCCTTCACTTGATAAGCCGATTGAGAAACTGGTCACAATTATAGTTCTTTGATTCCATAATCTAAACAGGTCCCTCTCCGATAATCAATTTGGCTTCCAGTGTGGCAAAGGAATATCTGATGCGATAGTCTCCCTTTTGGAAGACATTTATTCAAGTACAGATGGAAATCACCTTTCAGCAGCGGTTTTTTGTGACTTGTCAAAGGCTTTCGACTGTGTCGATCATTTTGTGTTGCACTGTAAGCTCCAAGTGTATGGTCTTAGAGGTGTGACTTTAAATTAGTTTCAGTCATAATAAAGTGATTGTCAGGAGGTAGTTTTATATAGGGGTGGGTTTTTGTCGAGGTTTTTGTATAAAATGAGCAACAATTGTGGTATGCCTCACAGCTCTATCCTTGGCCCCCTTTTGTTCTTGATCTATATTATTAATGATCTAGCCTCTCTTAGGGTCGGGAGAACTATTAGACTTTTCGCTGACGACACGTCTATTATCTGGCATGCGAGCAGTGGAGAATGATTGGAACGCAAGATTTGATAAAAATCTGGCGTGACAGCAACCATCTATCCTTCAACATATCGAATAGACTGTGAGATAGGGACTGTTTAGTGGAGTCATTTTTTTTTGTCTGGCATTTTGAAGGCTGAATGTAGCTAGTTAGCAGATGAGAATATGGGTGCTCTCCATTCGAAAATTTGGAGAAGAAAAAAATTGATTTACATGAAGAATTTTTTTTTCAATGATCTCAAATTTTCTGGCTTTTAAATAAAAGATTGGCATTGATAAATAATTCACCCATAAAAAATACCAGATGCTTTTCAATAGGTGAAAAAGTGGGGATAGGTATCAACTTCCAAGACAAAAGAAAATAGGTAACCGCGTTTACTTTTTGTCTGGCAATCGAGAGAATAAAAGGTTTTGTTGTGAAAATAACGAGTTTTCCGGCGAAACATTCTGTGGACATTTCAAACAGGGATCAGGCATTAAAAACACTTATATTCTCAGCAGCTAACTTGCCACATTCAGCCCTCAATATGCCAGACAAAAAAAAATGACTCCACTAAACATGCCCTATCTCAGGGTCTATATATTCAACATCTTTTTATGTGGTGATTTTTTTCATCTCATCGCCTGTGCTTGTTTCTTGGAGTTACAGTAGATGAGAGTCTCAAGTTTGAGCAGCATATTGTGTTATCTGTGGTAGGTTATCATCTAGCTGTTATCCTTTTGAGTACTCTCAGAGCAGTTAGAGCTGTGAGCTCTCAGGACCGCATTTTTTTCTCTGACACATTACTGATGGAATTGCATTTTGGGGCTGTTGCAGTACTAAGTACTTCAACTCCATATTTATTTTACAAAAAAGCACCCTTTGGTTTATGCTTAGCAGCTTAGAGTTCCCTTCTGACAATTTTGCGAACCTAGCTTCATTTCTCACAAAAATTTTAAACCAGCCATGCTTATACATACTTGAAAGTGTTTGCCTGGTCTATAGGAAATACTATGACTATTGAATTTTTTCAAAAATATGGGAAAGGTCAAAAACAATCTTCTGAGTAAATCTTTTTAAATTTTACTCACCGCTATAGAATATGAAGAATTCGCATTATCAGACAGTTGCTCTATATACTCTGCCAATTGTTCAGGATACAAAAAATTTTCATCTGCCACCTTTCCATCGCATATGAAAAATTCATTGTAAGGGTCAACTAGATTCCCACAAACAATCCAGTTGCATAAATGCTGATAAAATACTGTGTTTATTGTTTTTATTATCCTAAAATAATAATAAAGTTTTTTCCGATTATTATTATTGAACAAAATAGATACGTACGCCACAGCGGATTTTTCAATTTGCTCAATTCCACAATGAATGTATTGATGCAAACCGCTCATCAATAAACACCCATGTAATTCTTCAATCTGTATTTTCCTTATCATTGATTTCAGCACATCGAACAACCCTTTGAATTTATTTACAGAGCTCAAAATGTCCGTTAAAGATAATTGAGGATAAGCCAAAAAGGTGTTCTCCAATTTGATTATTTCTTTACGATAGTCTCCTAGGGCTTCTTGAATACCATTGCAAAAGGCTGTCAGATAGGGACCCCCTTGAAAAGACTGATTTTGGCCGGATTCCTTAACGCAATTTTGATTGAGTACTTCGTTTGTGAATGAAGTTATTTTGTGATAATCCATTCCAACTGAAATAATCAATTGGAGTAGTTTTTCTTCTCCTGGGTGAAGGAATTGGGGTAGTTCAAATAAATGAGTCCACTACAGAGAATTTATTAAGTTTTATTAACTGAAGACCTGATAATATACTGTACTTACATCTGCATCATCTATAGCTACACCAGGATGATGATATAAATTAAACAGCAATTCGTGAATCATTTTTAGTTGTTTTTAGGGATAAATTAATAATGTTCATGTATGTATTAGACTTTGGAAAAAATTGTTTGTTTTTGTTTGTGTTTGAATTTTTTTTAGGTTATGTTCAGTTCAGCACTCGTGTCAACCGGGTGTAACCAAAAAAAAGAAGCAGAAAAATTGACGTTTCCCAACCTAACCTCACAAAAATTTGAAAAGTTGCATGGCATGTTTTTGTTGATATAAAAAATTTAAATAAATCTAAAGCACAGTCAAATATGGAGCCAATAACAAAAAGTAAGTCTAAACGTAGTAGCAAAAAAGGCAAATCGAAAATATCTTTCGACGAAGAGCTGATAACTAAAGAAGATGCTAAAGTACTAGTTTCCAAAGAAAAGGATAATTTACTTCAGCAGCAAAACCAAGAGGATAGTGAAAAGCCAAAAAAGAAACGAAAAAAGAACAAGGATACTTCTAACGAATCTAGAAACAAAACTGAAAACAATGAATCCAGCAAATCAAAAAAGAAAAAAACAAAAAATGAAGCAGATTCCCAAACTCCAATGGACACAGGAGACAATAATAATCCAGATGAAGAAGAAGAAGAAGTTTCAAAACAAACAAACAAGGAAGAAAAAAAGGAATCAAATAGATCGATAAAGAAAAGAAAACACGCCAAAATACTGGAAGAAAAGAAAGTCCAAATCGAACTGGAACTACAACAAAAAGCCTTAAATTACTTATCCAAATGGAAACATAGCAAGTCAGAATGGAAATTTGAAAAGCTAAGGCAAATATGGCTGCAACAAAACCTGTTTGATTCCAGTAAAGTGCCAGATGAATTTTGGGACACTGTTGTACAGTATTTTAATGGTGCCCAGGGACAGTCGAGACAAACAGTTTTTGATGAGGCTTTAAAGTTTATCGAGAATTCTTCAGAAGAGAAGACAGATGAAGAATATCAAATAAAATTAAAACGAGCAAGGGATGTTGTACAGAATTTGGAGTAAAATAAAACAGTTGGTTTTGAAAATATGCTTTTACTCTCAACAATATGTATAAACTTCGATTAATAAAAAAAATGTATAATAAGCTCCAATCCCAAGTTCCACTAATTAATCATCATGAAAAAGTTGATCATGATCTGTAGATAAACACTGAAATAAAAAATCAGTAATTAATCAAAAAGTTATGTAAACAAACATTTTTTGAGACTTTCTGTATATTATAATGCATGCACTATGGGCAAAATACCCCCACATAAAAAAATATGTACCATTTGTGTGTTGTTAATGGATAGTCCTATAATTCTCCAAATGTGTAGTGTCCTCAATTAGTTTTTGATGGACATCACTAAGTGCCTTTAAATAGAAAAAAAAATCACATCTGATTCAAAATAAACATGCAAAAAATCCCTTGTTAATTACAGATAATCAAACAATTTACCTTGAAATACTTGACAGTCTTAACCCTTAACTCCATAGTAGCATCTTCATCACATATAACCAACGTATGCGGATGTTGTTGGAAAGCAGATACAGTCCACATATGATTAACGCCTTCTTCTATAGCTTTATAAAGTGCAAATGCCTTATGAGATCCAGTTATTAAAATCATGACTTCTTTAGCATCCATAACAGTTCCGACGCCTACAGTGAGTGCTTGCCCTGGTACTTTATTAATATCATTATTGAAGAATCTTGCATTAGCTTCCCTAGTATCTTGAGCTAGCGTTTTCACTCTTGTTCTAGAGGCCAATGAAGATCCTGGTTCGTTAAAGGCGATATGTCCATCAGGACCAATGCCTCCAATAAATAATTCAATTCCTCCTGCAGCTTTAATTTTTTCTTCATATGCGTTGCATTCGGCTATTAGGTCTGGTGCATTTCCATCTAAGAGGTGGGCATTTTTCGGGTCAATATCAATGTGTTTGAAAAAATTGTTCCACATGTAATAATGGTAGCTCTCTTGATGGTCTCTAGGTAGATTAACATATTCATCCATGTTAAAAGTTTTCACATATTTAAAGGAGAGTTGTCCAGCTTTGTAATATTCAGCTAATTTTTGGTACATACCAAATGGGGTACTGCCTGAAATAAACCTTGGAAATAAGAATGGTAATAATTAGAGTTTTCTCTTACCTGTTGGAAGCCCTAGAACAAAATATTTATTCTCGTTTGGCTGAAATTCATGTATTTTTTTCATAACGTATTTTGCAGCCCATTCTGCAACATTACTAGAATTATCCAAAATTACCAACCTCATTTTGCAATCTGCACAAAGTTGCGACTAAAGGTAAAGTAAAAGCTTCAGCGAATACGTGGCTTGAATTCAAGAAAGCCCAAAACCAGTCTGTAATGTAGACTTTGGTAATGGATGAGATGTTTTTCTTATTATCAGTTTGTTGACCTACTTGAATGAAACTGAACCACACATTAACAACAACTGGCAAATAACCATTATTATATTATTTGTTTTATGATAAGATATCTGAGAATGCTGGTGCATTAACCATAATTCAGTCTAGATAACGAATAGATAAATAAAACTAGATTTGCAATAAAAATAATGTGATTTTGTTATTTGAATTTGATTTATTTTTATTTACAGAAATAAATAACCTCGAACTATGTCACTGCCACAAATGCCACAGCTGACTACTAGGGTTGTTAGAAAACTATCGATATTTCGTTATTCTTCTCAAAAATAGTTATTTTTGTATCAAGTCGAGATCACCAAAGTATTTCGCGCCCGAGTTGCAAACAATATTTTTTCTACAACTCCATTTAAATATCGATCATTCGAAGCCAAAATTGCATTTTCAATCAAAGGTAGGTGAATTTTAATTATTTTTGATTTCCTGACAGGTATGTGTCACCATGACACCCAGTGTGCGAACTAGCTATTTCGCGCACACGTGCGCGAAATAGCTAGTTCGCGCACGGCGTCATGAGGCGGTTACACACGGACGTGGATGTCTGAAAACTACAGTGACTCTATAACTCACAGTGGTGACAATTGCTGTCTCATTTTTGATTGGTTCTAAAATCCCATATATTTATATTGTGTATCATCCTTGACCGGCAAGGGACATGTCTCGAACGATTCGAAATAGCTATTTACCTAACAAGTGCGGAAAAATATTTTCCGCAAGTGTTAGGTACAATATTTTTCCTACAGGCGAAAAAATGTAAAATTTTTCTTTTTTTTTGACATATCAGTGCGGTAAAATTTTTTCCGCACTGACAGCCGTGCGGAAAAACTTTTTCCGCACTGATATGTCAAAAAAAACAGTTTTACCGCACCGTGCAGGAAAACTCATTTTCCGCACGCATATCAGTGCGAAAAATCGATTTTTCCGCATGGCTGTAGGAAAACACTTTTTCGAGAACTGTCAAATAGCGGCTAGTTAACGTATACATCTATAGGCCTATTCGGGTTTGAAAAATGGACGGTTCTAGAACGGTTCAAAACAATCGCACAGTTTATTATTGAAATTTGTGATAGCCGAAACGGTTGTCATCCTGTTAATTGATGAACTTTGCGATTGCTTTGAACCGTTCTAGAACCGTCCTTTTTTCAAACCCGAATGAAACTTATGTTAAGCGTCAGAATTGAGCACATCTTCGAAAACTGCCTACTAATACTATCTATCCGAGCCGGTTTCTCAATAGCTAGTCACCCAGGGTCAGTTTCTCAATAGCGAGTTACCTCCGGGTTGGTTTTCTGACCTCCAGGGTAAACGTGCCTAGTTGCAATGTTCACCCTGGGTCCTTATTCTTGGAACTTGGGTGCAGCGTGCATCGTTCCTGAGAACGAAGGTTCTGTCTTCGTCGTCCGTATTCATATTTCCATAACACTGACAATGACAGAGTAATCGTTCTCGAGACAACGCTGTTCCTTGGTTTCGAGAATAAAGTCCCTGGGAACGCTGGTCCTCTGTTCCAGAATGAGAACCCTGAAGTTATGCTTAATCCAGGAGTGACTTGCTGTTGAGAAACCGGCCCTAAGAGGCAGCCTCGCGGTTTTGGTCGTGCTCCAAGAAGCTTTGTAGCGCGGCATTTCGCAAGTATGTACGTGTTTGCTGGTTGTGAGCTACGTTGTTGCCTCAGAGCGAGTCAATTGAATGACGGCTCGCGTTGCCTCGTGATTAGCTTCTATTCTACTACCACTACCACTGCAAGTTCAAGGGTCGGTTTCTTAATAGTTGTATTCCTTTCACACCTAGGAGGAGCTCCGGGGCGTTACGATGCGTCAAGATGGCGCATGGATAGGATTACAGTGATAGAATAAACGCTGTGTCTAGAATCCCGGTACCGGTAATAAATTTTTTACCGGTAGTTTTGATGCTACCCGGGATTCGAGCAAATCCCGGTAAAAAATGTAGTCGTTGACGGTTTCTGTTTTATCAAAGTCCAACTTAATCTAACTTTTATGTTTTTAACTTGTTTTGTTGACGTGTGGACGTAAAGTGGAGTGTTTTCGTGAGTTTATTAACGTGAAATTACTTTTAAAATGGGTTTCAATGTAGGACAAACATTTTAAAGTTATAAAGAAGTTGAAGAGACTTTGACATGTGAAATGTGCCAGTTATTTGTGTAAAATACCCAAAATGTGGTATTGTTCTGATTGCAAACTTATAAATAGAAAATGAGAATTATTTATTTTAATTTACATTCTGAACAGTATAGTTTGACTTGAAGTAAATTAATAAATATTAAATTCGATTATAAACTGCTATTAGTCTAGGAGGCAGTGACGATTTTTGGTACTTATTTTCCCAGTCAGAAAACATGGATAGAATTGTAGGGTTGGTAATTCTAAGCAAAATACATATATTTTTAGGGGGGGTTTTCCGATGGGTTGAGGCGCAAAATGCGTTAAAGCTCACCAATGCACGGCCCTTTTTTTCTCAATGCTAAAAATAGGTCTACTAATGAGAAGTATACTGAAGTTACGTAAAAAAATAGTCCGGCAAATCTGTGAGTATGGATAATATGTCTGGCAAGTGAAAAATTGAAGATTCGAAAATTTTCAGCCAGACTCACTTTCACTATCTGAGATAAGCGAAATTGCTATTTTCATATACTTTATGTTCTATTGTCTTAAATCTGGAATATTTATATTTGGTAAAATAAGCGTACTTGTATTTTTCATTGATCTTGTGAACCCATCCGAAAATGTCAGCCAGACTCAAAAATTCTTGCTCTGTATCACCAAGAGAACAAGTTATTTAATAGACACCAACTGGGAAAATTAGTGCTAAAAAATTTCACTGCCTCCTGGACTATATATTATAAAATGACATTATTTTAAATTTGTTTAAATTCTCAGAAATCTCAGGGGTTTTCGGAAATATAACAACCCTAGTTTACTATCATCTGATTGCAGATTACTTCTAATCTGGGATGAGTTGTTCGACATTTCTGAACGCCAATCATTTATATAAGGTATTTCGAACCTAAACTAACTTTTATAGTATGAAATGCTTCCAAAAAGTGACGAAAACATATGATAAACCAACCTAAAATACCAATCAGCTGCTAAATAACGATAAAAACAAAATCAAAACACCGGGATTCACTTAAAAATCCCGGTACAAGTGCGTCATATTGATGACGTCATCAAAACTACCGGTAAAAAATGTGTTACCGGTACCGGGATTCTAGACACAGCGTAGAATAAATACCAATGAAAGTCAGGAATTGCTAACAATGCATAAAGCAAAAGCCCGCGGAATCAAAACCTGTGGTGCAAAAAGCCTACGTCAAGGCGAAAAACGACATGCTGCTTACGTCACCACTGGTGATTTGGCGTGGTGGCCGGTGGGGGGCTTCAGATTTGTTTTACATTCTACACAAACTTTATGAGCATAGGCTATCCTGTAGCAGTAGTGTGTATTATCCTTGGGTTAAAACCAACTCGGAGGTGAATCGCTATTCAAAAACCGTCTCTCACTCTCAAAAGTAGTGCGAGGCCGCTCACATTAGCCGCTTTCCAGCTGTGTGCTTCAAGCACGGTGCAGCACAGTGTTCTGTGTTTGAAACGCAAAGGTTAGCAGCTCTCGAAGCGCAGTACGGCTGGAACACGAACACGCGCTTGAAGCATTTGCGCGCGCAAAAGCTCGATTGCGTGCTCAAACCGTGCGTTCGTTATTTTGGTCCGAGTTCTCCGAGCTTGACGTTACCGTTCGTTTATTTAAAAAGTGTACTCGGTGCAGCCTCATTCGCGTTCTTTATTAAAATTTCTGGCACTTTTATTCAGCGTTCAACTGCTCTGTTCGCTCACTGGTCACGTGATTACGGCTCCGCTCAGCATGCTCTGCTCTTTGAGCAAAATACCGAACGCAAGGAAAAGCGTCAGCTGGAAAGCGGCTATTGTCATTGCGGCAGCCTCGCGAAGTCCGTACGCGGCTTTACGTTGACAGTGACAGAGTGCTGACGTCTGTGGCTGACTTTACTTTGACATTTCTGTCTGGCTCTGGCAGTACAGTGGCAGTGACAACTTTTCGAACTTCGCGAGAAGTGTTTTGGGATGGGATTATTGGAAAAAAGCAAAAGTATAGTAGTATGACTGATGCCTGATTAGTGAAGACTCCAAAATTTTAGCTTAAAGCTGATAATATCCAAAATTAATTATTAGCTGTTTCATTGGTATAAAATTAAAATTATGTCATCTAAAGTGCGGAGTAGAAGTGAAAAACATAAGAGTTCAAGAAGTAAAAGTAAACCGTCCAGTGCCAGTGAACAATCTCTTGATGAATGTGCTGAATTGAATTTGCAAAATATTCAATTGGATGACGATATCAGAAAAAGCCTCGAAGATTTTCCCGAAGTTTTGTCGTTCATTGAAAAGCTGCAAAGAATTATTCAGAAGCAAGTTAAGAAAATCATCAAGTGGAAGAGAAAAGCTAAGCAAATCCTAGAGGTAAGAATTTTTAAAATAAGCAATTGTTAAGGCCTCATTATTGCCATCTTTTAGAATACTGGCAAAAATGTCTCGACTCAAACCCACTTTGATGAAAACATACAAGAATCTCTAAATGAAATAGAATCAATAGAAATTAAAGGGGAAAAAAGTTTTGCTGATGATATAAGGGAAGCTGCTGAACAAGCAACTCAATCTACAGGATTTGTTTATGAAGAAACTTCAGGTTTATATTATGATTATAATTCAGGTTATTATTATAATGCAGTAAGTCTCGAGCCAAATTTCTAATTATTCCAATTATTTAATGCCTAATTGTATAGGAATATGGACTTTATTATGATGGCACTTCGGGCACATATTTAAAATACAACGCAGAAACCCAAAATTATGACTTCCATTCTCAAGTAGACACAACTGAAATCAATCTCAGTCAACCAATGGACAAGGAGCAAAAACCCAAACGCAAAAGCAAAAACAAACAGAAATCAAAAGTAATTTTTCAATTATTTCAGAAATTAAATAAGCAAATTAAATTGTTTTAGGTAAACAGTAACTTCTACAAAGTGGAGACTCTTACAAGTTCTTTCAGTAACATGAATTTACATAATCTACGCAGCATCTCGGCCGGTGGGTATTATGAAAAGTAAAATTCATATTATTTGCAGGAATCCAAGAGGAGGCGGCCTGCACTGTCCATGGACGACTTAGAGGATGGCGAATGCTCAAACGATTCAGCTTCAAGCAATGCGGATAGTGTTATTTCTGAATCAAGTGGTACTTTAAAAAGAAAAAAATTGTATGATTTTTTTAATGAAATTATTTTTACTTGTTTTCAGATTTAAGCAAACAATGGCCTCCTTGTATGAGAGTGATAGTGGAATCGACAGAAATACCAAAAATAAAATCTGGCTCCTTATTTATAATTACTTGCGATGGAGGTACTATAGGAAGAGAAGGCGATCATTCAATATGTTTGCCGGACATAAATGTCAGCAAACACCACTTGAAAATAAGCTATGACTCTGAAAAATACTTATTAGTAGATCTGGGTTCAAGAAATGGTACTTTACTCAACGGCCAAAGAATGTCTAGTTCAAAACAAGAAAGTGAACCAACACAAATATTACACGGCAGCAGAATTCAGTTAGGTTCCACTATACTTTTATGTCACATTCATGAAGGAACTCAAACTTGCGGTCATTGCGAACCAGGATTGTTACTGGGAGAAGAAAAATATCCATTACATGGAGCTATTAAAAAAACCTCCAACGAACAATTTAAAAGTGAATTGAAGCGTTTGAGGAAGCTCCACGGACTGTTAGGATCTGAAGCTAGTTGCAAATTAGGGGATGGTTATACAGATAGAGCCCAAAAGAGACGTGAAGAATTTGGAAGTCAGAATCCCTATGAGAAAACTGAAGCTGCATCTGTTGAAGCGTAAGTTTTTTGTTTTTTGAGATTTGAAGCATGCAATTAATTATTTGATTTTGGCTTCAGGTCTATTCCATCTCAAAATAAAGGATTTAAATTATTAGCTAAAATGGGTTGGAAAGAAGGCGAGTCATTAGGGAAAGAAGGAACAGGCGTTAAAGAACCAGTAAGGATTTTTCTTTTTTGGTTTTGAATTTTTTATTAACATCTGCTTGTTTCTAGATTAATGTTGTGTCAAATCTTGGTACTACAGGAATAGGAGCTGTATCACAAGTTAGAATTGCTGAAATGCCAAAGAAAAATATTTGGAAGAAGACACAGGAACGTTTCGAAAAATTACCTGAAACAACTGCAATAATTGATGATGCTGATTCCGATTAGATTAGAATTTGGCATTTTATTGTATGTAATCAGGCCAATTATTGTTGCATTTATTGATTTAAGTATTTTATCGCATGCAGTTTCATTGATATATTAAATAGTTAAGTATTTATTTATTGAGTTTTATTTTTCATAATCTATTTTTGAAATGATTTACAGAAAAACACTTGAACGGTAGGCAAGATGATCATCCTGATAAATATGAAGTTCAATTCAACAACACATGTAACAAGCACAAGGTCAATTTATAGAAATAGAAATAAATATTTAAAAATAAAAATGAAAATAATAAAAATAAATAAAACACAACAAAACAATCTAAGAACAATAATTCAAAAAGTCAACAAAAACGACAGACGAAGCATATCAAAAAAAGGATACCTATACTACACATTAATTTTTTTTCAAAAACTCGTCAAATGAATAATTAGCTGAGGCTAGCAAGGCTTTCCTCACACTATTCTTAAACCATTGTGATTCAGTTCCCTTACATTAGTGGAATAGCATTGAACCAGTTCTTGCCTACATGCAACAAGAGCCGCTTTCCAGTGACAAATTTTAAGGTGCTCCACACCCGTAGCTTCATACTCTGGTGCACCAAACAACTGTTGTGTCACTGGAACGCATGTGCGTTAGTGGAAAGCGACTTGGTTCTACTGGTATTTAAGTTCATTATGAGAACGCGGCAAATTAAGTTTGGCTCCAAATCTAGTTTGGTATGGATGAGTATTTGCCGGAGTAATTTCCTGAGCATTTCCATATGATCTCTTCTGTAATTTAAATAATGTCTGTAAGCGTGACTCGGTCATATAAACCCCCAAAAAATAATGCAATATCGTAAACTGGATTGAGAGAGAGCATGATAAACTTCCTCACTGATTGAAATGTTATTCAGTTCGATGGTGACAGTTCTCAGAGCAAATATTACCGATCCGATGATAAATTCTTTGTAATTTTATTCAAGTGTTCCTCCCATTTCAGATCCCGATCAATATATGTACCTACCTATTCCCATTCCCAGAAATTTGTAGTCTGGAACGTATTGTATTGTGTTATCTTTCTATCCTTAAAGTTATGGGTTGTTTCTTTGGAAAGGTCATCAATTTCGTTTTGTCCACGTTCAATAAATACTAAGCCATTGATATCAAACCATGCCTTAATCACTTGTGAGACCCCACTTTCAGAAACTTGGCATGATATTAAATTGGCGAGCGGTGACTTTAGTTTCTGAGTGGAGACACAGTTTAAAGTGGGTCCTATTTGCGGGTGGAGAGTAAAACACAGAAATATTGTGGTCAATTAAAATAAAGTTTATTTTATTAAAATAAATAAAGCTTGTTATTAAATAACAGACGTCGGTCATAAATAATCTTACAATAAAATTATTCAATCTCTAATAAGCATCAATTAAATGTTAAGGATTATTCCACTCATGTGTTAGAAATCCCATAAGACAGGTGACGATTTTCAGAATAACAGCGAAAATTCTCTTTTCCATTTGTTTAACTAGAGAGAATTACAGTGATAATTCTCCCATGTTATTGTATACATAGTTGTCATGCTAATTTTTGATACAAACAAACGGTTCCTGATAAACTGTGTTTTTTATTTAGAGATAAAAGTCAAAATGACATTATGTTGGCAATACAATGTAAAATTGTCAATGCTTTCAAATTTTTTATGTAGAAAAAGCTTGTGTTGCCAACAGTTACTAAATTTTTGACTTGGGGAATTATCTTTAAAAAAAAAAACAGACTTTAGCAACCATTTATTTGTATTGATTGTTAAGATGTTCAAATCGTTTAATACATATTTATTTCCATATTTTTTGCATTCTCATGCGTGAAATAATCCTCTAAATACCACTTGAGCTTTAAAATGAACCAGATAATTTTTCACTCATGCGTGTTTTCTCTACAAATTTCACTCGTCCTACGGACTCGTGAAATTATAGAAAACACGCAATCGAGAAAAATTATCGGTAATTTTGAAGCTCTCGTGGTATTATCTCCGAAAATCTATATGATTTCAAGTAAAATTTTAATTTACAATTTGACTCGACTCACACTCTTGCCTTCACAATTTCTGGCTGTACATAAAAAACTCTACTTAATAAAAAAAATACATTTAACAATAATATATTTACTGCTGGCCAGGCCACACCTAATCACATGGAATTCTTATTGGTCGAAGGAATTTACTTTACTTATGAACATTTAATAAAACTCGAATATTTTCGCGCTGTTATTTCACGTCGTGCTTCTTCTCTTGGTTAATTCGACAACTCTTTCACGCCGTAGTTCTGACTTTCTGGACACAGGTTTCTCGATTAGGTACTACTTGTTTCTTGATTACTCAACCAAGCATTGGTTTACAGAAGTAGCTCTACCCGTTTACTCGCTCTTTCTCGAACACTGATTTTCTCCTGCCAAAGTTGCCTTTTTATATCATTGGTCCCTCCATTGTCTTGAATTTCTTTGTTTATTCTGACCTCGATTTTTTGTGGTTGAATCATCCGATCAATTAGTGTATTTGGTCCCCTTTTATAATTAATTATCAAGGGCGTCGCTAAGTGGTTTGTTAAGTGGGTATCATCATATAATAGGCTGGTGCGTGATTTATTGATCCTTCTAGCTAAGCCCCCCCAAATCTGGAATTAGCCCCCCCAAATTTAAATTAGTGATGAGTGGCAAAAGTTCGCAGTCCCTGAGTAAAAAATATTCAAGCGTTAGGATTAATTAACGACATAATTTCAAGAATTTCACGATAATCGCGGTTCTTTAAAATTAAGATTTTCTGAACAGAGCGAAGAATTAGCTTTGGCAGTCGACCAGTTTTTAAGTCTCAATTACGAAGATTCCTCGTACTTCATAGAATTTTATAGTTTCTCACTAAATATTAATAAAGACCCATTGAAAGCCGAGATGACTGTCGCTAAAAAGTTAATTAATAGTGTAGATATATTACCCTAGAACAGCTACAAAAATCGGTTAACCAATCCACGTTTCCTAATCTGTATAAATTGATTCAAATAGCAATTATATTAGCAGTTTCATCTGCAACCTGCGAATGATCTTTTTCTGCGATGCGTAGAGTCAAAACTTGGCTACGAATGTCGATGTTGCAGGATATAGCTTTATAAAAACCTTATTTTTGTAAAGAGTTTTTGTTTTTGTTTTTGTAAATTTGATATATTTTTTTAATGAAAAAGTAGTTATTATTGGCGCCAGTAGGATTTGAAACCATTTCTTTGGAAGAATATTGAAAATGTAACAGCGATTGTAGTTTCGAATCCTACTGATATCAAACATTTTTAAATTTAACTCTTTTTCTATTTCATAAATAGGTAAATCAAAAACAATTTTGACTAAATATTTATTAAAATATAAGGTTTTTGGGCGTGGCAACCACCTCAGAGCGACCTTGGAGCAGGGGCTTCAGCCTCCCCAGCACAGAGGGGCTAGAACTGCCTATGGGAGGCGAGTAGCCTTTAAACCTGTCTTTCGATCCTCCTCTACTTGCTTCGATAGAATAATCTAACAAATTACGGAATTATCGTGAGTTGGCGTTTTATCGAAAATTTAAAGAAGGAAATTTCACAGGAATTAATGAAAGATCGAAAACAAAAAGCGGTAGATAATCGGACAGTTATTTGTGGAACCCCTGGGGTATACCAGAAAGGACATTCAAGACCCTTGAGAGAAAATTACCAATCTTGAGATACTGTCTGCGCTCAGTCAAATAGTTCCAAAACCATGAGATAAAAGGTTCATAAATCCCAAAAATTGCGAGCTTATATGATGAGCTAACAAACAACAAGGATCCCTGTCGAATGCTTTGGAGAAGTCAGTGTAAACGGTATCAATCTGCCAGCCCCTCTCCAAGACTCCCGACAGAAACTCCAAGTATGTCAGCAGATTCAACTCAGTTGACGTAGGAGGTCTAAAACCATACTGTTGGTCAATCCAGAACAGGCTCAAGTAGAGGAGACAACAAGTCACAAACCAAACTCTCAAAAACTTTGGGAATTGCATTCAAGATGCCTCTAGGACGATAATTTGTCATAGATGACCTACTGCCCAAACTAAAAATCAGCTTCAGAAAGCTTTCCTTGAAATAATCTGGGAAATGATGAGAGTTTGGTGAAGATATCAGAAATTGTGATAGGTAGGTATGTAGTTTGGGGATATGAATAATGGAGGAATATATTTCGTGGTTGGTTGTATTAATAAGGTTATTGTATGAATATACTGTGGAAAAATAGTTAGCAAATATGTTATATCTCTGCCAGAGCCACTTGACAGGTAAAGATAGCTAAGTCCAAAAGGAAACCTGTTATTTTTCCGTTTATTTTTTAGCATTAGTATTGCCATTTCAGTGAAATAGATGTGAATATTATGAGATGCCTGGGCTGGGACTCAGTAACGGATAGATATAGTTATTTCCATCGCTATATGGCACTAGCTGTCTTCTCTTTTTTTGAAATCAATATAGGGGAACGTCAATAGAGATAGAGAAAATATCTCTATTTGTTACAGAGTTCCAGCCCTGCATCATAGTTGACGGTAATTTTTTGGCTGAGTACTTTTTCAAAGGTACTATTCTATCAGTAGCTACGAAACTATCTATCAGTAGCTACGAAAATAACATCAACAACAAAATATTTAACTTCACATTTAATATCATATCCCTAAATAAAACGTCCCAGTTAAGTTAGTCAAGAACTGTCTTATTGCATGAAAATTTGCAGAGTTAAACTCTCTGTAAAATCCTTCGAAATTAAGACAATTATCAGCTCCCAAACTCATTGACATCATATGAATATGAACGAAGGGGTAAGTGGATAATGGATAACAGGAAAAAGTCGGCCGGGCTGACACTTTTCTCTGAGCCGTGAGTCAAGACTAAATCGAATAGGCTGTAAGGCCGTCATGTGAATACAAGGAATAATTATTCCATTGGAAGAGGTTGTGAAAGTTGCAGGTAGGTATATTAGACATAAGTAATTTGTATGCAAGCTGTCTCTTGAAAATATGCTGCATCACTAGCAAAGTGGAGTTGAATGCCCTGTCCTGCTATATAGCGTACCTTAAATTCAAATTACCAACAATATTCAAAGTAGAGTTGGGCATACTTAGGGTCAGAGATTATCCATAGTTTTTGAGAATGTTAGATATGTTTCGATAGAAGAGCGACGAGATATATAAACTGTTCCCAGGATAAAGCTAGCCTCGTCAGTACCAACTGAAACGAAGAACTCTTTAATAGTTTCAGGAACTTTCAATCTTTTTCTAGGTATAGATTTATGAATGACTATTAGTGTTCCACCCCCTCTCTTGAAAATACTAGTCTCTGGTGAACGATATCCTTACAATAAATGAAAAAATTCGTGAGTCAGAGCTCCGCGTCAAAGATACCACTGGGAAGCCACGTTTCGGTAAATACGAAATTTCATACTGGCAGGCTGGGATATTTTGTTACATAATAATGATAAATTGCTTTCATTTTTCACTCGACGAAGGGTAGCATAGCTATTTACCACGTTGATTACTAATGCTCTAGCAAGATTTCCATCTTGGTGCATCATGTGAATCACCGGTGAACAAACCTATTGGTATTCATCCATGAACCAAATGTATCCACATCACATGTGATATCGTGCATAATGATATCCATTGGGTTTTTCAAATCCCCGATACAGAAAAGCAGGCAAATAAAATACGACAGAGTATATAAACACACTAAATAATGTTTAGGTTAGCTAGGCATCACCGGTGTGACTTATCATAGTCGTGTTATACTTACAAAATATAAAAATATCAACTTAGTGCCTTTTTTCTAAACATTCCAGGCATAACACGGGTAAACGCGTGGACACTCGTTGCATAAAGTGGAAGCCAATTTTGCCTACTTTGCTGCTACCTACTTTTGACCACCTCATACACCATCGAAGTAATCATTCTCGCTTCTTCTTTTGGATCCCTATTTCACACAATAAGCACACCCACAAGAGAATCCAAACAACTGATGAAACGACATACAAACACGTGTAAAGTAATACTAAGGTTCACGTATGGACCAAGGGTATCACCGGTGATCAACCAACAGAACAATCTGGAAGCACCGTGTTTCAAGTGCATAGCAACATCTGTTGATTGATGGCTGTACCTATAACTTGAGAAAAGGATAATGCGCAGTCCCTATCGGAAACTTTTATGCATCCCTGTCGGTATCGAAGCAAGTGCTACGTGTTACCTAAACAAGATAAACCCAGATTTAGATATTCCAACGCGAAGGGAGAGAGATGGAGCTTTGTCGGCCATCTAGAAATGAAGCTATAATGCCGGCAGAAAAACTCATTGTAATGTTGGCGGAATTATTTTTTCACAGGGGGACTTTTGTTGATTAGTAAAGTCGGAATACCAGACCGGCTCATTCCCCTGGAAGTAATCCATGGTGTTCCATCCCCTCCTGCTTATGGGTGAGAAATAAAGAAACATGTCTCCAAATGAACGATTCCGAAGTCGGTGTAAATTGGCGACCATTGAAGCGAAAACATATCTAGGAGCGGACATTCCAATATGATCATAACCTTCTTATCGTTAATAAAAGCCTTACAAAATATCTAGGTATAATGGAGCACAGTTAGTCAAGAATCAAAATAGGAAACAATCTGTCAAGTAAATTTAAATCTTCAAACGACTGAGACAGGGATGCTGCATATCTACAACACTTTTCAAAATCTATGTAAGAGGATCTCTGAAAATATGGAAAAGGAAGATCAGGGAAATGGGTTCGTTTAGTTGGATACTCAACGATGACATATGCTTTATACACATATAGTTTGCAGAGCATCAAGTTAAGTTGTCTTATAGCAAACGATAAAGATGATAGGTATGGATGCTCTGGAGCTGCAAGAATACAAAAAATGGGGTTAAAAAGTAAACATCGAAAAAACCAAGAATCTTACAAACTAGCTACTGCTTCGTTAGAGCCACTATTACTTAAACACAGATTCGATAGGTTGCGCTAGAGGTTGAGAATCGTATAGCTGATGATCCGATCACCATCTTTCAACCGTGACAGATATAGTGGATCCATATTTGCTCAAATTCAATATAGTATGCAGTCGGCATAATCGAAGACTGAAAATTAAAGCCTAAATTGAGCATGACCAATGTTGCCCAAACAAGCCCATGGAGTGCCGCAAGCCTCAAGGATCAGTGCTTGTTTCCTAAAGTTATAATAGGTTGCCTGATAATGAGTAACTTGATGACGCGTCATATAAAACTTTCTCTATCGTGTGGTTTATCGTCTCAGCGACTATGTTTTAAAATTGTTTCAGCTACGGTTGTATCAAACCAGAACAAAATTTTTCAAAACTACTGCCGATAACAAAGAAAATTTATTTAAAAAAAAAATTAAAATTTCAATACACTCGTTCTATTATATTTTTTGGCCTCTCACAAGCTCACTTCGCTATTACCGACGACTCATCCATTATAACCTTAAGCCCGTATTAGATACATCTGTGTATGTTTCTGTGTATTTCTTCATGTAGTTCAGGGTGCCAAAATTATTTTGTTTTTCATAATGCTGATTTATGTTGCGTTTGAAGTTTTTCGGTTGTTACCCTGAACTACCTACATGAAGAAATTCACGGAAAAATACACAGATGTAAAACAGGCTTAATATGTAGGTACTTATAAGATGCGGATAGTTATTTTGATAACGTTTCAATTATTTTGTTTCCGGATTTCTGTCTTTTATCTTCTGATCCTCAGGTTGGTGGTCCCAAAATTCTCTATCTCCAGAACCAAAAAGCGTGTAGATGACGAAGCCCAACACATAAAGACCTGCCGTTATGTAAAACATGACTCTCCATTGTTCCAGTGTCTAAAATCGGACAATGTTGAATGGTGCTGTTCATTTGCAATAAGCCACTCTCAATATCTCTCTAAACGAATTCAATTTTTATAATTCGCCCTGAACTGATAGTGACTTAACCTTGTGAAATATAGGGTAATCAATCATAAAGAAAGAAAATAAAGTATACCCGTTACATTCAATAAAACTCTGTTTTTGAGATATCAAGAGCGATTCCGTTTTCAAGTTCAAGCATAATGATTACCGGATTTTCAAAAGACACGAGATATCCAGCAATAATAGGGCTCACAATGCCAGGCAAAGTACCAAAGGTATTGACCATTCCGAACACCACGCCCGAAAGTTTGGGAGCGATATCCAAACAGTTTGCACTATAATATGAAAAAAAAAAAGGGTAATTTTGTCAAAATAAAAACCAAACGCTAGTTCTTACCACACTGTTGTGATCGATAGAGCACCGAAACCCACAGCCATCACCAAGCAAAATTCATTACCAGCAGTATTTCGCCAGTAAGCAGCTCCCATCATAAAAGCTGCTTGCACAAGCACACCCACGCCAGAAAATATTTTTCTGGTTTGAGTCACCGACCACCATTTTTTCCTAATCATTAAGTCGGAAAATTGACCGCTGACTTGCGTCATAATCGCTATAAACATATAAGGCAGTGCTGAGAGTACCCCAGAAGTGGTTATATCAAATTTGAACACATCTATAATAGGTATACTTATTGAGAAAAATATATTAATTGTGAGTAAAGATACAAGTTTACCTTTAAAATACTTAGGCAACAAAGTCAACAGAGTATAAAATCCCCAAGTGTCGCAACATAAAATTGCAATCAGCGCCCAAACAGCTCTAGAACTAAAGATGCTTTTCCAAGGCACCTCGTGCTCTTCAGTTGCTTTGATAGTTTGCAAAGACATTTGAATATATTTTAGCTCTTCCTCAGAAATATGCGAATTGGTTTCCGGTGATTCAGATACAAAATACAGCCAAGCGGAGAACCACAGCAAACCTGATACACCAGAAAACCAAAATACAGCTCTCCAGCCAGCTGTTTCGGTAAGGTAGGCAAAAAATATCATTGAAAATACTGCTCCGGTGTAGCTGCCTGATTGCGCTTGCGAAGCTATCCTGGTTTTCTCTGTGGGCGGTATCCACTTGGCCCATATTGTGTATAATGCACCATAAGTGGTACCTTCGAAAATTCCGGCTAAAACTCTGGAAATTATAAGCACGTAAACGTTTATATCAGTCAGCCATGGTGTTATTAAAGAAAATGCGGACGTACTGGCAATACCAGCTCCAAAAATTAGTTTTCCTCCGAACTTTCTTCCTAAAATGCCTCCAAGCAGTTGGGTCATACAATAACCGTAAAAAAACGAGCTTAGGATGTAGCCTTGGATTTTGTTGTCCCAATTAAATTCGGGACCCTAGAAGGAACTCATGCATGAAATAATAGATGTTATGTTTGTATGCGTACTATGTTCAATACAGTTCCATTTTCAAGTTTAGTGAATCTATTTTGCGTCATAGCCACTATGGTGATGTTCATGTTAACCCTCAAGGCATAAATGTTAAAATAGCCTAAAAACACTAGGAAGGCTAGGATGTATCTTTTTTGCTTCCAAAACCTCCACGATGGTGTGTAGTTTCTATTGAAAAATGTTTAGTGAAAATTTTAAAATCGATAATGAAGCAATTTTTTGCTTACGTGTCGTTTCCCATCGTTTTTAGTGCCATTTTCATCACTTTATTATTCAACTAAATAAAATCATGCACTGAAAATTTCGCAAATCAATCCATTTTTCGATGTGATTAATCAATCTTAAATTAAGGTAATCTTTCACTTTTAACATTTTATCTCGTCACTCAAATTTTAACAACTTGTTATGGCTGGGAATAATTTTTACAGCAGAAATTTATCTTAATTGAGTTATACCTCGTGTCCCAAACTGGTTGCTATAGGGGATACAAGAAGTTAAAATAGGGATGATCTATGTTGCATGTTTTAAATAATTTTATTATTTTCGAAATATTTTCTATGGTGACTTTTGTATCTAAAACTCAATAACTCACCTCTAACTTGGCGAATGTCTTGATATCTTTCCTGAAAGTTCCAAACAATAGACTACCTGTTATGTTACATTATATGTTTGGTAATTGTAGAGTGATACAGATACACACCAATAGACTTTGGCATATATAGGTTTTTGATGAAATGTATTTTTTTTTTCTTGTGAAATCTTCGGCATCAGTTTCGCTACAATTGATAATGAAATTTTTCTTACTTCACTCACCTACCCATGATCTGCCCATGTGGATTATCAGAAATTGAGTTCATTTTTCAGATTCTTCCATTGCAGACCTAATAGGTTGAATTGATTCTAGATTAGAGTCAGTTTTTTTTATGAAGTTCTTTAGTTCACTGCCACGGGTTATTCAACAATCTAGTATATTTCTATCCTAAATAAACTAGGATAGATGTGCACTGAAGCGTAATTCCATTTTACGGATAGTTAATTTTTATTGCGTGTCACGATTAGACATATATTTTCTAGCATATTTTTCTTTCGTCCCTGTGAACCTGCATTTGATAATAATTCAAAAATAATAAATAAAGCTAATATGTGGATAATTAAAAAACCCAAACATCTTTGATCTTAAACTCTCTTGTTTCTTCTCGATATTTCAATACATGCACCGCCAATTTCAATTTGGGACACACTGTACATAATGCATGTTATGGTAAATATGATTTATTTATTCGAGGTTGTATTTTATTATTATTACCTATCTTTCTATTGTCTATACATAATTTGAATTAATAAGAGGCTTGCAATCTTGTTTTTATGGGCACCTTTTATTTGTTTTTCGAATGCATGAGAAAAAAACTAGAATATTTGGAAATTTAATATAACACCTATAGTCGTCCAAAAACAAATCAAATTTTCTCTTCGTATAATGATTTTATGAAGACTGGATCCTTTTTCATCGTCCCTCACAGGCAGGTTTTAAACCTTTTTGTTGTAGGTATACCTATTTATGCCCAGAGACGGGAATATTCGAACGTGGATGCCATTATGAGTCCTATGGATCTGAAGTGATGGTAAAAGGCAAGGCCTGCTCCATTTCTTAAAATAACTCCGATTCTAATGAATGTTTTTTAGACAAACATTGACTTGCTCAATCTCTGATAATGACTTTGTTTTGGAATAATGATATTTCCTTTTTTTTTAAATATCCAATCACTTAAAAATAAATCGAGTAAATTGTATCTATTTATTAATCAGTGTGGGTGGTACTGATTACTGAGCATTGGCTTAAAAAGGGAGAATTGTTCTGTATGCCTGTATTGTACAGTAATATCTTCCTTTTGCAGAAACGTACCTATTTGGCCATAGTGGTTGGATAATATGATTCTAGTGAATGCTTAATTCCTACTGTCAATTATTGTTTCCAACCCATATAGTAAAATTCTATGAAAAAATATTTGGATTTTCTATTGCATTCTCTAAAGCTATGAATGCTATGTTTACAGATCACCTAGTGCAGAGATTAATGCATTTTCAATAGAATGAAGGCCCTCGGCCCTATTATCATCAATATTGGTGTCTTCATCTGGTGACATAAATATCAATTTTTATGACTCAGACATGACTGCAACCATAAGACTGACCTATTTATTTAGATCTTTTAATCTACAAATTCATGTTAAATGTCCAACTTGTGTGTCAAAATTTACGTTATACGTTAATAGATGTATGTTCAAATATTTGTTCTGAAATGTTTGACTGCTCAGTTATTAATGCTGCCTTGTCTTGTTTGATCATGATAATAATAAATAACCCTGGTTTACCAAAGGACTTAAGGTGTCCTCTAAGAATCTTCGAAATCTTCACTATATTAGAAAATTCACAAATTCACAGATAATCCCCACTTTCACAGCTATATACATAACAACTACTGGTCAGTATAGAGAAAGCACATAGAGTTAGCCAAAGATTTACATTACTCCAATCGTCTTGCAAATACTTACGTCTTATATTCGTAAGAAAAGCCATTTTTTCCCAAGCATCATGATAGCGACATGTCTTCTGACTCAATCAATAAATTTTACTGTTCTATCACAGAAAACCTGACCAAAAATAATTATTCAACACACTGATCCACTTAGTTTTCTTAAAAATAATACAGGGGCTAAAAATTCATTTTTCATTTTTCCTAATATCCTGGAAGAGTTAAAACAGATCATATCGGCATTAAAAAAAAAGCTCTGGGGATGATGGTGTGTCTATGAAATTATTTGCAAATTTGCCTAACAAAGTTTTGGATACTTTGGCAATCAATTTATCTTGGGAGTCTGGTGTCTTTGCTTCATGCCTTAAATTGGCAAACGTAATTCCATTCCACAAAAGCAGAGATTCGGGAGATCCCTCTAATGATATGCCCATTTCACTACTTTTTAATCTATCCAAAATTGCAGAAAAGCTGGTTCAAATTGGAGTGATCTGATTTTTGAATACAAACAATGTTCTAAATTCTCTTCAATTTGGCTTACAAAAACATCGCAATATAGATGATGCGATTTTTCAATTTTTGGAAAGTCCTTATGCCGGCATTACCTAACCTTTATCAACATGGGAACAGGCGAAACAGAGCTAAACGGCTCCGTGAAGTAGGCAGGCACACTTGAAGCAAGAAAGTTAAATTTTACATAATCGTTTAGCGCTTCGTTAGTGCTTCAATCCCCAATTTAGCAATCCTTGAATTTTCAGACATATTCTGGTTTTTAGAAATCGCCTGCTTAGTTTACACATAGCAGGAACATTGGAAGCACCGACGTCTAGTTGTAGACAGATGGTTAGTGCTTCAATGTACTTGGATCCGCAAATAAGCAACCCTTATGTTTTCAGAGATATTTCAGTTTTTAGAAATCGTCTGATCACTTTACACCCAGTAGGAACAAGGGAAGCACCAAGGTTCATTTACAGATAAATGGTTAGTGCTTCAATAATGTGCTTCAATCGGCCCCAAATAAGCATACCTCAAATTTTCAGAGATATTACGGATTTTAGAAATTGCCTGCGTGATTACTTCACACCCGGCAGGAACAAAGAAAGCACCAATGTTCAGTTATAGATAAATGGTTAGTGCTTCGTTACTGCTTCAATTTGCTTCAATCTCCAATTAAGCAACCCTTAAATTTCAGAAATCGCCTGCTTACTTCACACTTAGCAGGAAAGCACCAACGTTTAGTTGTAGATGAATCGTTTATGCTTCATTAGTGCTTCATGATGCACCACCTTAGCTTTTGACAACTCATACTTCCCAAGATATTTCAACTTTTTGCAATCGCCTGCGGATTCCACCCTACCAGGGCCGAGAACCGGGAATATGATAAGCATAAACTCTCTGGTCTGAACTACTTATAAATATGATTAGTATAGGTACTAATTATGCTTCCTAATACTTAGGCCGGTTCACTCATCTTCCGATAAACGTACTGCAGGTAACTATTTCCAAGACAAATTTGCCAATCGATAATCTTATTAGTCGACGTATAAATGGCCAACCAATACGATTAAAGATTGCGTTTTTTATCCGTCAGATAATTACCTGATGGTTTATCAGTATGTGAATAAACCGGGCCTTAGTTTCTCTTTTGACCATCCGTTATATTCATCTTCTCACAAATGTTATAGATCTAGATGTACTAGCATGTCGTTACTCTCCTTTCCATCTTCTCAATTTGATGATTTACCAACACTTCCAAATTTTGGAATCCTTTTTCGTGTATCTTCTGGATCGATTCAAATTCCAAGACAAATGACGTCACTTTCTGCTCTTTGAAATAGTGACACTCAGGAGAAAGGCGTTTATTTTTAAGATAAATGTGTACCTACCTATCAATAAAACAGTCAGTCACGTTGCAGATATTCTGAATACAATTAAGAGTAGAGCTATTTGACAAAGTAGTTTTCTTGAAGATCGTTGTTCTGTAAAGCAGTTAGCATCTAGACTAGAAGAGACAGAATCAGAAATGAAGTGACAAAGGAAAGAATCGGAATTGAAGGAACAATAGTACAGGACATAAAGAAAACAACTTGGTACAGATATGTGTACAACGGATGGACCAAATAAGACTGCCAAGATTGACAATGGAGAAGCAATCTCAAGAAAGCCCCAACACATTATGGGGTGCAGGAATACAAAAAGCAATGAGCGAAAGAAACCTTGAACGGGACCGATGGAATGACAAAAGAAGTTGGAATTTAGGAATCGGGCAGCGAAGAAAAACGCTAAATGTATATTGATTGATACATACACACACCTATGACTAATGGAAATCGTACTTTGAACAACTTCCATGACACACGACGATTCGCCTGGAACAACTGACAATTATTATTGATGGAGTTAGAGCTGCAATGAAGTCCATGAAGGAAGGAAAATTTCCTAGACCTGACACTATAAACACAGAGTATATGGAATTTATAGGCGATGATAGCCATGAAGTAGAAAACACACATTTTCAATAAAGTTCACATATCTGGCAAGATCCTTGAAGATTGCCTGCGGGATCAGAGTTTATTGCCTTGCAAAAGAAACAAGGAGCTAAAAAATGTGCAGAATCTAGAGCAATGAGCCCCATAAGCCACCTTTTCAAACTTTTTCTCAAAGTCATTCATAGAAGAATTTACCAAAACTTGCAAAGCATTTACTTATTTATTTTTTCATCTACAGGCAGTTTTGCGAGGCTCTTTCTAAATCCCCTGCAGATATTGTTATGTTACAATGTAAAGAAGTACTGAAGAATTTTAATTGCGACTTTGAAATGTCTTATGCCTGTTTTTTTGTTATATTACGTTGATTCGTCCGCAGGAGATTTTAGAGACATTCGTAATTTTAGAAACTATCTGGATAATATTTGCACAGTGGCAATATTGCAGCTTGCGTTTTGTTGAATATAAGCTGGATATGTTCTACTTATACCGATGGCTTGCCACACCGCGATGTCGCCCAGAAACCTGTATAGTATATTTCATACGAACATCATGGTGAAGTACTGAAGTACAAAAAAACGTCTGAGAGCTATATTCAATTTTTTGTCGAATAGAAATTTCGATTAAATTTCTACAGAATGTTGAAATTAATGTCGATATCACTTCGATAGTTCATCACATTTTCGAACACGCTCTGCGATATCCTCCTGATATAGAGAAAGACGCTATTTTTTTTTACTACCCTAACCTGTAACATCGCATCGCATTAGTTACATAGCTTCTGGTCCTTCTGGCTCTTGAATAACGTTTTAACACAGTTCATAGGTTTTACTATATTTTCTGTAATTCTATAGTTTCTGTGAGTTTCCGAATTAGTTTGTAAGTTTGTTGGTTTTTAGTTTTTGGGGCTCGGATTTTCTTGACCTGGCAGCTGACGGCAGTTGATGTGCAGTAAATCACCCTGTATACTATTTCAGCTTTTATGACCATTTTGTTTATCTAAGTAATAAAAATTGGTTTCTAACTTGATGGGGTTCTAAAAAACTGACATGCATATACTTGACTTGCTTGCGTGACCTATATGGTACTGTGGTACTTTACTCTCTAGTCTAATAAATAACCATTATCT